TACTTGGGTACTGCTCTCATATGGTGCTTCGGCTTATATGGGGGTGGGGAGACGACTCTTTCCCCGATGTGGGACAGAGGTAAAGGCTACTGTGGGGGTTTGACCCGCAGGTTAGCCGAAATCCTTTGGTGGAGGGTGGTGATATCCCGGTAATGGGACAGGGTCTTCACACACATAGACTCCAACTGCATCACCGTACATAACCTCATCTAAAGTCTCAACAAGGGAGGCACAAGAGGTAACATTCGGAGTAATGATAAGCACTGCTAAGTAGTACTCTGGTTCAAATTCGGAAATCAGCCTCTTCAGAAAAGTGAAGGCTATCACTACCTCTCCAAACACCCTTATAGGTGGGAGCCTTGTGCAACGATACTACTTTTACTTTTCAATACAGGATGCAAAGTTTGCTGTCCATAAATTCATTATCAAATGAGGATATCATCATGATTAGCTGTACTGCATGATCAAACACCTCACATACCAAAAGAAAGACACAAACATGCAAAGCACACATAAAGGCAGCACAACCCAAATTTTGTTCAGGTAAAATGCTGACCAACAAACCCAATGAAACTCAATATAGATATATTTCTGCACATTAGCCATTACATATTTCTACACCAGAACAACCTATTGTACCATTACATCTAATATTCGTTTTGTCCAAGTCAAGAATATTGCAAAAAATTTTATGCCAGCAGTCTTAGGTCCTTAGAAAATTATTCACATCAGGTATTCAGGTGTCATTCAGGTGCAAAAATTTCCTTCCCTTTTCAATTTGGTTTTAGAAGGATGAAGAAGAAAGATCAAACACATCCATCATTTTACCCATTTCAAAGAAACAACTAATCGCTACGTGTATATGTGTACCAACTATTTCATCATCTTGTAAATGTCAGTGTATCTGTGTGTGAGAGATTGACAAAGTGAAGGTGTTATATTGCAAACTGTTACGTAAGATAGAATTTTAGACTAGCCTGAGAAGGATTACATAGCTAGCATATTGATGATTACCTAGTAATAAATTGACAGAATCAATTTATTTTGCCTTTTTTTCGTTTTTCTGTTGGGGACTGGGTGTGTATAGGAGGTGGGATAGCAACACCACTGACCCAAAAATTTTCTAATTTGGTGGTTATGCATGCACACACATGTACTACAACGTATGGACATGAAAATGTCTGGGTCAGTAACCATTATGCAGTTGCCATCAAGTACAGTTGGTTCCTTAGTTCATTCTAGCTAAGCCACCACAATAATTAATCAAAAAAGGGTTGAATAGATAATAAGGGAAGATACTTGAGCAACATAAAAAACACACCAAAGGCAATAGATACTATAAGATTGCCAACCAGCATCTAATGTTGCAGGAACATGCCAGTTATCATGGCTATGTTAGAGTAGAATGCCATAGCAGTAGCATAAGAAACTAAAAAAATGATACTGTCTACTAAAGACAGCCAAGAAAATTTCACCTGTATTTGTGAGAGTATACTCCCATGCATTGCCATGACCATGAATGCACAATGCCGCAATGCACCACTAACTTTAACATAGTCACTCCAAGGATAGTTGAACATTTTGTAACGGCCATGAGGTGGTTCCCATACAGCAAAGTTTAACTGTGCGAAAAAGTTGAAACTAAATTATTTCTGTGTGCCATATAACCTAAGATAAAGCATTGCCATAAGCAGTAGCTTACAAGGGAATCCTCTTGGCTTGTGGACTCCACAGCAGATCTGTATCCTTTATAAACAAGGTCATCAGAAGCCTGGTAGAATAGAATTTTTGAAGGGATCCTCTCATATTCAACGCTGTCCAAGTACCCATTAACACAATCTGCACAAAAGCTCATGGGACTCGATCAAGCATATCAAGTCAACTGACAAAAATAAAAATTGAAAGTGTAAGGCAAACTAGTCGGGAATATTAATCTAACCTTCCAAGGAAGTAGCAACACCCTTAAAATTTTTCACCACCAATTTGTGTAAATCCTCCCCAGCCCAAATGGGATAAACACAGATATTAACAAGCAAACACACACCAGCTCCAACAGCAATTAGCAAGAACCGAGAAACAGCAGTTTGGATAAAATTTGAAGTCCCCGATACCAAGACGATACAAAATGTCAACAGGAAAACCCGAAACCCATATTCGTATTGCTTCATCGACGGGTGCAGCTTCAAATAACTTGCACAAAACCCTAAAATCCACACAACAAAAAAGATCCCAAATATGAAAAGGAATTCTTATGCACCAAGAAGGAAGCTTATAAAACAGACAATTTGAGCATCACATACAAAGACAATGTGATTAATGTAGAAGGGTACTGTTTGATACTATGTACTAAGATTCTGACCTGCCATAAAAATGCTGAAAACGATAACAAATTCTTGCCAATCTCCAGCCAACACAGATAGTTCAGCAATGCCCAGAGAAAGTGCGCCGGCAGATACTGTCCCCAAGGCGCGGTTAAATCCTTTGTTAAGTGTGGCTCCTACATATAATCACAAACACACGTTCGTGTGAATGAAAATAAAAAAAATCGAATTCAATGAATATAATTACTTGTATTGAATTAAAAAAACATGTGGATTACCTATGCTGAATTCGAAAACAACGACAACGGTGAGGATCGCCCAGATGGAGTGTTGCCCAATATAATTGAGTGGTTCTTTGAAGAATATGAGAACCGAAACGAGCACGAGAGCCAATCCCATTTTAGCTGCAAATATGACTTTTCGAGGATCAGAGCGACCCATTTTATATGCTTTAACTGCATTTTCTCGAACAGTAATCCAAAAATTTGTAAATTTATCGCCAACTGATCGAATACAACCGCATCTGAGACCTTCATCACCACCATAAGATTCACCCAATCCTAATTCTGAATACCCTTTTCTGGATAGCAACCTTTCTCTGCTTCTCTCTGCAAAACTTCGCCTCAAGGATGCAATATTGGCTGCCATTTTTTTGCTGCTGCTATTGCTTGAATATAGAATTCATGAAAGAAGAACAAATAACAATTGATTCAGAAAGGAGAGACGAGGTGGGGGAGAAAAGGGCAGCCGTGACTCCTCGTGATCCAAGTGTTTATACATAAATTAGTGTCTGTTCATAAGGTTGTTGAACTTTTGAAGTTAAAGTTAGAGAGAGAGAGAGAGTCTGTGAGCCAGGCGGGACATCGGTTGGAAAGTTGAAAGGTTGTTTGATAGTTAGATACTACAGTCAGGTACACCCGGAGGCCCAGGGCTCGACTTTCAAGCCGTCCGATCTTACACCATATGGGCTACAGGAGATGGCCGAGTCCATCATTCCCTTTACCTTTAATTAGGTTAGGTGGGACTAGAGGCGACAAATGAGCATATGGGGTTAGTTATGAGCTCATTTAAAATGAGTTTGATGTAAAATAAATTTAATTTGTTTTTAACTTGTTTAATAAATAAGTTATAATGAATTGAGTTAAATTCATTAATTTTTAAAATAATTAAAAATTTTAATATAAATATATATTAATACACTAAATAAAACACACACTAATACAAAAAAATAAAAATACATACTTGTTCGCCAAAGTTGGGTCGAGTCCGGTGTCTGAGGTCGGGGTCCAAGTTTGGGGTGGGATGATAACTAGTGGATAGAAATAGAGGGAGAATGATATTAGGGAAAAAACAATAAAATAGACGATGGTGAAGAGATGAAAAAAAAATATTTCCTCTAGGTTTCGACGGAGGTAAGATGATCTCTCACCAAATCTCTTTTTATTAAATAAGGTTTAGAGTTGGTTCGATCTCAATTTGCTTTAACCAACCCATGTTTGAAGTCCGTGGAATGGGTTGAACCGAACATCCAGAATCCGACTCTTCCTGTTAATTATCGAATTTTATCAATATCTATAGTTAGTGAACGAGATTGCAGGTAACCGGGTTTACTCCATGTAGAGATTCTAATTTGACCTTGCTTTCGAGAAGTTAGGCATCATCCAAAAGTCACAGCTATGAAAGAATCAAGTTATTGATAAAGTAACACTACAAGGACACTGCCATTCAAATATGTAGAGAGCCATCGTAGGAACGCAAAACCAAACAGATAATCAAGAAATCCCAAAATTCATACAGCTTAACACTGATATTACAAATGCTACTTCTAATCGTTCAGACAAAACCCAGTAATTAGACACGAACCCAATGAGCAAAAAAAAAAAAACAATGCAGGCATCAGCAATCAGCTAGAACTCACTATTTCTTCTCTTCCTTCTCAGCTTCTGCAGCCTTCTTCATCCTGACACCAACATGGCGCTTGTTCACCCGCTCCACGCGCAGCTTGTCATAGGCCTTAAATGACTTCATCTCATCTGTGACCTTAACAAGCTCAACACTTGGCTTCTCGCGTGCAATGGGCATGTAAGGACCTTGGACTTGTGTGGCCGTTGCCAATTCTTCGGGAGCAGAATCACCAGCCTGCAGCCAAAGAAATGTCAAGCAAATATCATATATGACACAAACAAATAACCACAGTTATCAGTATAAGTGAAGCAACAGGCAATGATACCTTGAACTTTCGAGCACGTCTTGGGAAGACAACTAATTTGGCCTTGAAAGTCTTCAACCTCTGGACATTAGTCTGGAGACCCTCTAGGGAGCGGTTTCTGCGACGATGATCAACTGCAATGCCAATAGTAGGGGCAAGTTTCTTTGGAATCCCCGCTGCCTGGTTGAATCAACACAAACAGTGGTCAGACCATCCCACAGAGCAGCTAGGTGATTAGAATATCAATATACCTCTACAGGGATAACAAGCATAATTGGGGGAGTCATCATAATAGTGTGTTTTCCAAGATTGTAGAAAGAGATGATATCTATACTAAATAAACAAACAAAAAGAAAAAGATCTGAGATGCATGCACAATGTGCTCTCTCCAACACTATTGTGATTAATTACAGCAATTGGGTCTCAAAACTAAACATCCCGTTTTAGTTCTGTCCTACACACACTAGGAGAAAGATGAGATGTGGATTTAAAAGAAAACAAGTATATAGGCCAGTATCAATAGCCCCAAAAGCAGACCCCTTATATCATATGATGAAAAGGGATTACAAAAATAGGCTTTCTTTTGGATATTTGGAAGGAATAACAGCAATCAAAAGAAAGAAAAATATTTATAAATGCACCAAGATAATACAATTTTGTACAGGCCAAAGCATTAAACTTTCTTGCCTATTCCCTCTGACGTACAAATAGAGGCTTCAAATTTAAACCAGATGCAACATACAAACATGCTTAACTAAGCTGGCGATGACATAAAACAACTCACCTTAAGCTCCTCAAGAGAAAATCCCCTACCAGCCCTGACTTTCATATTATACTTCAATGTCTGCCCATGGACAATAGGACGAAGTGGACCAGTTGTCGGTCGAGGGAAAATCTTCACAGCCTTCTTTTGTCTAGCTGGAAAAAGTTTCAAAAAAACAAATAATTTCACAGGTTGGTCATTTTTAACAGTAGACTGCTGCAGGACATTAAAGGAAAACACGAGTAGAAGGCAATCACTGATTATTTGCATAACTTACAAGGGGCCAGGTAAAATGGGAAAATGCTTACCGATTCTTCTCCTGGTTTTGCGTGCAGGTTGGTTGAACCAGGTCTTCACATAGTTCTGCCAGTGCTTCCTGAAGTGCCCACTGGGCACGACATTGTTATGCTTAACCATGACTTACCTGTAGACTCAAATCATAAGTAACAAATACCAACCACACTGAGTTAAATAATTGAAATAAAGTGAACCCAAAAATAAAATTCCACTTTCACATTATATACTCACCTCAGATTGAGTTCACAGGACTATTGTTATCTAATTATCTTTAAACAGTGCATTTGCACATTATCTATATGTCTGCTGTTCAGGAAAATTATAGAAATTGTGTATTTAAAATTCCCCTATTTAACATTGCAAGTCGACCACAACAGAGCTAAACCTAAAAAAAAATGATTACAAGTCTCTTCAGAAGGACAAGAAACTAAAGGATTAGTTTCAACAACATTAAAGATACCAGCACATGTTCAACTTCCAAAAAAACTAAAAAAAGGGGCACAAAAAGGAGGTGGAAATATGCTACTCAGAAATCCATTGCATTTAATACAAAGATATTGTTAACCCACGGTCCAGGGAACTTATAGTTGTCAAGGTTACCCCAGGAAAAATAAAGGGAAAACATGACCAATACCATTTCATTTCAGCGATCAATAAGTTATAAGATACACCAAAGGAAGAAAAATATAAAACTTACAATACAAGCAAATAGAAATAGAATCATTTGAATTCAGTTGAACAACCAAAAAACCACTACGTAAATTTTTTTTGAAAACATTTGATTTCAAATTGAAAACAACAACAAACAAATCAATATCCAACATATTCACAGAATAAAATAAACTATTTAATTAGTCCTACGCATTAAGAAACGAGTAGTCAATTAGTGCCCAAAAAAGCTGGAAGAAATCCCAAAAAAAAAAAATCAAGCGGCCAAGATACAATGCTGAAATCTGTAAAACCCCAGTCAAAGACATCGCAATCCCAGTGTACACAATCTAATCAAACAGATCAAACTCAAAGAAACTAAAAGGTTGTATAAAGTTAAATGGAGAGGCAAATATATTACATATATGTCGCATATACAAAATAAAAGGATTCAGGATGCTAATTTCTTTTAACTTACAACATTTTCTCAGAGAGAAAACATAGACGACGTCATTTTTTCAGCAAAAAACATATACGTTTCCATGCACATTCCCTATCGTTATACGAACTAAATCGCATAAAACGCATGAAATAGAAGAAGCTATCATTGACATTGATTTAGGCGTCAATACTTACAGAGCCGCCTACGAAGCTCGAGCTCAACCAGCAATGGACCTCTCTCATTTGGAGATTCAGGCGTTCTGTGGATTTTATAGATGGGATGATAAAACCCTAGTTTTGGAAGGGTTTTTTTGTCTATTGGGCCAAGCCTAAATGTTCCAGACAGCCCATTCTGAAATGCTTTAATGAATATGGGCTCAGCCCAGAGGTTTTCCTTTAGGGTAAATTATATCAAATTAGATTTATTTGGCAAAAAATATATATTAAAAAATATAGGNTTCAAACACCACAATCTTCGGCCTCTCCACTCTTCTTCACTTCAAATAACTACTTCTGATGTATTTTTTTTTTGTCACGTTGGCTTATACAGGTCATCCATAGCAAACTAAATTATTCATGAACGACTATTTGATTTTCTATCATTGTGTTGTTGACAAAAATCAAACCTACTTTAAGTCTATAAAACATTGATCAAGATAATACCATTATGTTATTATTTATTAACGAGAATCAAATTTTCTTTGAGTCTATCCAATTTTAATCATTTGGGTTGCCCTTCGAGTTTTTGATGTTAATTTTATGATAATATTAAANGTTGAGATTATCAAGTCTAATTTTTAAGTCTAGTTTTTAAGTCCATCTAGCATTACTATATATATATATATATATATATATATATATATTATTCTAAATTCATTTGTAAGTAGATTCGCACCCTAGCACCCAACCTTAATCCAGTCTATCAAGAGTACGTAAGCCGCACTTATCCCANCAAAAAAAAAAAAAAAAAGTGTGTCTATGCAACCTTGATTTTGCCCTTTTGATGCGTTTCAAGATGACACTAACCTCAAAAGTATGTTATTTTTTATACATTAAAGCAGACAATAGTTACCTTTTAGGTCTAGTTGGGAATACGAATNTAAGTCCCGTGTGAGGCAAAGAGTGGATCGCAGGCGAGAAGTTGAGAGAAATTGGAGTCAGATTAGGGGGTATGTCTAATGTCGTCCAACTTACAGATTAATTTAAAATTTGATAACAATTTAGATTTTAAAATGAGTAGATTATTCAGATCTAATTCTAGAGCTAGTACATCTAGATCTTCAGATTATTCTATGCCACATAGAGTAAATGAGGAAGAATTAGAAATAGAAGATGCTAAACTAGACTGGAAGAAATGGAATATTCCTCCAGTAAAAGAGAAAAATATTTATAGTACAACTTGGGTTCAAAAAACCTTTNAACAGACTGGAAGAAATGGAATATTCCTCCAGTTAAAGAAAAAAATATTTATAGCACAACTTGGGTTCAGAAAACCTTTAGTGAAGAACACCAAGTTAAAACTGTTGAACAAGTTCATCCTCTCAGGAAAGAAGATGAGCTTTGTGAGCTCCTCACTAAGGAGACTCTCAAAAAACACAAGGCTAGAGGATATAATTTTATCCACATAGGTCTTGTACAAGTGGCCATTAAACCACTTATCACCCAAGGCAGGAATGCTGCTGCCTTATTAGCCTTAAGAGATGCGAGGTTTCTTGATTGGGAGCCAAGTGTCTTGGGAATNCTCTTATTACCCAAGGCAGGAATGCTGCTGCCTTACTAGCACTAAGAGATGCGAGGTTTCTTGATTGGGAACCAAGTGTCTTGGGAATCATGGAGACAGGACTCCACCGAGGTCCAGTCTACTTTAACTGTTTCCCTGACTTTACCCTTGACCTCCATTGTCCAAACACTCATATGTCACTAACTCTTNAGAGATGCGAGGTTTCTTGATTGGGAACCAAGTGTCTTGGGAATCATGGAGACAGGACTCCACCGAGGTCCAGTCTACTTTAACTGCTTCCCAGACTTTACCCTTGACCTCCATTGTCCTAATACACATATGGCACTAACTCTTGGTATCCGTCTCACAGGCGATATTACCAGGTTAGTACAAAATACTAGTTCCTTAGTACTTATTTATAGGATTTATTACAAGTGTATTCGTACCAATTTGAATGTATAATGCCTTGACCCAAGTCCTAAAGGAAGTACTATGTTAATNCAAGTGGCCATTAAGCCTCTTATTACCCAAGGCAGGAATGCTGCTGCCTTACTAGCACTAAGAGATGCGAGGTTTCTTGATTGGGAACCAAGTGTCTTGGGAATCATGGAGACAGGACTCCACCGAGGTCCAGTCTACTTTAACTGCTTCCCAGACTTTACCCTTGACCTCCATTGTCCTAATACCCACATGGCACTAACTCTTGGTATCCGTCTCACAGGCGATATTACCAGGTTAGTACAAAATACTAGTTCCTTAGTACTTATTTACAGGATTTATTACAAGTGTATTCGTACCAATTTAAATGTACAATGCCTTGACCCAAGTCCTAAAGGAAGTACTATGTTAATACAATCTAGTTCTGCACAGACTAACATCCAGGTTCCAAAGCAACTACTTTGGAAAGATGTGACTTTACCTGAGTCATGGACTGTACAGAATGAGAACTTTGACAAGGAATCTAGTGCCGAGTCAACAACAACTGATCTGGAGACTATCAGACAGCTCCCTGATGGATCAGTAAAAATATCATTTGACACTGCCAGATCCAGTAGATCTTGTAGATTCACTTCCAGGCAAGATCAGTTTTCTAAAGGAAGAAAGTTTGATTTCTCATCTGTTTCCTATAGAGACAGAGAAATTGCCAAAGAACTTGACCATAGGTTGAAAGGAATCGCTAATTCCTCAGACCCAGTAGCTAGACATGTGTACACTCCCATAAGTGTCCCATTAAAGTCTAGATACACAGAGTTCAAACAAACAGAGAATGATAATTTTACTCCGTCGCCTTCTCTGTCACCCACAGCTAGTGCTTTTGATGAGCCCAGTAAAGTTCATCAATTGTATACCATTACTAGAGATAAAGGTTTCTTTATGCCTAACATTTATAGGTTAAAGAAAGACTTCAAAGATCCAGAGATTAGACCACTTAGGAAATCTTTTGAATCTTTACCTAGTAAAATTAGAGAGAAAATTCAAAAAGAATGGATTTCTCTAATGTATAAACTAGAAACTGAAATAGAGTTTGAAGACTACTTAAAAAACTTCCACAAAGAAGTAAAAGTAGTAACTCAGCATAACTGGAAAACAGAGTCTGCTCAGGTAACCTCTAGTCATCCTCCAGTAGAAACTATTCAAATCCAGTATGCCTCCAAAACTGTTTCAGCTACTCCCTTTAAGATTCCAGTTTTAGAATCTGAAAAGAAGGTAGTTGAACAAGTCAATTTCACCAACCAAAGCCTAATTACCATAGGTAAGCAGTTGGATAAAATTGAAATTAAAATTGACGAGATTAAACCTTCTTATGTAAAAAGACCAATAGTCAGCCTACCTGAAGAAATGAAGAATTTAGGTTTAAAAAACAAAAACCTAATTCAACAGATTGATGCACTTTTCCAGAGAAAGGAATCTACTAGTACTTCTCAGGTTACAGTCATCAACCAAACTGATGAAAGTTCAGAATCCAGTAGTCCATCTAGTACCACTGATTCTGACTCAGAAATTGAAAATTTAGAGAACCAGTTTAGGGATCACAATATGACCCAACCTGATTCACAAGTTAAAGCATTGGTTAGGTATCCGGTAAAAACCACCAAAAATTGGTATACTAGACCTACACCACCTGATCTTCAATTTGAAGAAAAAAATGTTTTAAATCAATTTTCTGTTCAATCTAACCGTTTGTATGAATGGAATATAGATGGTTTAAGTGAACAAGAAATTATTAATAAAGTTAGTCATCTGTCTATGGTATTAAATAATTATATGACCAATCTTGATATTTCTGAACCTGAAATTGTTAAACTAATAGTTTCTGGGTTTACAGGAGTTCTGAGAAATTGGTGGGATAATTATTTAACCCAGGAGCAGAGAGACAGTGTCATTAATGCTGTCCTCAAAGATGATGAAGGCATTCCAATCTTTGATGAAAGGATTGGAACAGCTAAACCTGATGGTTGTAATACACTTATATTCACAATCATCAAACACTTTGTTGGCACCCCTAGTAGCATTACTGCTAGGATTCATGACCAATTGACCAACCTAAAATGTCCCACACTTAGTGACTTTAGGTGGTATAAAGATGTATTTGTTTCCCGTGTTATGGTCCGACCAGACTGCCAGAAAGCATTCTGGAAAGAGAAATTTGTTAATGGTTTACCCAGTCTCTTTGCCCATAAAGTAAGAGAAACCCTTAGCAAAGACACAGGAATCATAGAATATGATAATCTTGCTTATGGAGAACTCATTAGCACCATCCAAAATGTAGGACTAAAATGGTGTGTTGATCTGAGAATCAATAAGCAATTAACAAATGAAAAACATAAGGCTAAATATGAATTAGGAAATTTTTGTGAACAATATGGGTTACAGCCATTAGCTCCTTCCCATAAGAAACACAGAAAATTTAAGTCACACAAGCCTTATTCTAAAAACAAATCTTATCAAAGATTTTTTCCTCACCACAAAACTGCCAAAAGATCTAAACCAGAATCTTCCAGAAAATCTAGAAGAAAATTTAGATCCAAAAGGACAGATAAAGGAAAAGGAAAAGTCCAAGATATTACATGTTTTAACTGCGGAAAACCAGGCCACATTAGTCCTGAATGCCTAGTTAAAAGACAAGTCAAAAGATTAAATTTATCTCAAGATGATGAGGACAGAATCCTTGAAATCTTTAGGATAAATAATCTTGAAAGATCTGAAGAATCAAATAGTCCAGTAGACACCTCAGATTCCTCAGATTATTATTCAGCCTCTGATCACCTTGATGCACCTAAAGTCAAAATAGGATGCTCTTGCCAGAAACAAGTCAGGGTAATCACTAAGCAAAATGAAGAACACATACTTATAGACTTGATCTCCAAGATAGAAGATCCAGATCTAAAAGATAAGTATGTCAAACAGCTTAGAAACCTTTTCAGTAAAAAGGATAATAAGCAAC